TTTTCACCATCCTTCGGTCCAGCAACGTTAACTTCGTTTCGAGGAGGTCCAACCGAATTTAAATGAACTACATGATTAAAATCTTTCTAAGAGTTAATGAAAGTGTAAGCGGTTTGAAAAGAAAATTACATAAACAGTGTTGAGAAAAACTGAATAGGAGTAGCATCATAATACCAGCTCCTGATAGATGAGTAGAGTATGTTATTGAACCGGTCTTGATACCTGTAAATACTTTTGCCATTTTTATGGCTTGTTTTTTCCTATTATACGTCCATATTCTAGTTGAATTACGTAATTTATTCTTACAGATTCTTTTAAATGATTTTAGATTTAAATTAAATTGAAAGATTAACAATTTCGATATTTTTAAATAATAAAATTCTCGGCTTTATAATTTTGTAACGTAAAAAAAAAACTATAAAAATGGTTGAAAATATTGATCTGCATTTCTATAATAAGATGTCTGACCAATAAAAAAGGTTTTGAAGATGACCGACTTTTTAATTTTAAACAAAGATCATCGTAACTCATTTCTTTCTCAATAATACTGAGCAATTTGATACAAACTGTCCTCAGCTGTGATAGTTGTTTCTGTAAATTAGTCTTTGACGATGATTTTCTATGTCCAAATTATCAGCATATTATTGACGAGGTTTTTCTTGTTAATTGATTTCTTTGTGTTTTGCCATTTAAATACCTAAAATTGAGATAGATATCGTATCTTTAATAATCATGATGATATTTTTACAAAAGGATTTGTAAATGGTAGGTAACATTACCGGCAGTAGCATTCTCTACTTAGCCATTAGGAATTCCATGGTGGCGGTAGATTGTGCTACACTTAACTACTCAGCTTTCACAACCCTGTTTACGTCAATACCGCTTTCAACACCAGGCACTTTCACTGACTCTGGAAAGATTTCAATCATGTAGTTCATTTAAATTCGGTTGGACCTCCTCGAAACGAAGTTAACGTTGCTGGACCGAAGGATGGTGAAAAAAACAAGCCAGAGAAATTACAAAAGGATCTGTAAATGGTAGGTAACATTACCGGCAGTAGCATTCTCTACTTAGCCATTAGGAATTCCATGGTGGCGGTAGATTGT